ATCTGACTGATTTCAGGAGATGTAACAAAATCTCCTTGTCTGCCAAATACATCACCCACCATATAGTAACCACTAAGAGAACTTGTCAACACCTCTTTCATATATTGCGCAATTGATATAGGTCCTGTTGCCTAATGAAAAAATTTTTTTCATTAATTCAATTAATTCATGAAATGAAAATTTTTATAGATAATTCCTTTAAAAATTACCCTAATCGATTTCATAAGGTGATCTTTTAACTCATTTTTCTTTGTCAAATAATAATATCTTGAAATATTAAGATTAAATGATGATCGCCTGCAAAAAACTCGATACATAGCTTGGATTTTTCAATGTTAGATTACTTTTTAATCGGTTTTAAATCACTAATTTTTTCGTTCAAGTTGACAGTAGGTCAACAGATCGAAAAGACAGCTAAGCAATGATGCATTATCAAGCGACGATCACATGGGTGATCCCGATTCCAACAAGAGAATCCGGTATATGGAGGAAGACAAGTATAAATTTAATGAAATTACTAATTTAGGAATTTTTGGGATCCTCCTGTAAAAAATCCTGCGGACCACTTAACATTCCTAAACGAATTAATCTTCGAATACTTATTTTCGATCGACCAGACCTCTACCCAAAACATAATGATGATAAAACGTTAAATTGACATCATTAATAAATAACTAAGGAAGTCAAAGTGGTATTTTTGCTAATAGTATAATGTTTTCATTCTTTTCTAATCAATCGCTTACAGTAAAAATTTAAAGAAATAATAAACGGTTAAATATTTAAGAACTATCTTGTCCTTAAAAATATTGTAATTAAGGAACATTTTACAGCGTTTTCAAGCTCGTTGTAATCATGATCAAATTTATAAACACTTTATAATAATTTTACCAGCTAACGGATTCAGTAATGACTTTTGGCAATTTGGAAGGATAATCTCAAAAGGGATTAATGGGTCGATTCTTTAGCATTTAATTCCAAAAGACTTAAATTGTTAGTCGATTCATTTTATAATATTAATACAATAATTCTAAATCAGTATGATTTACAAGAAGGCATGAAAATAAGAATTTATAATTTGTTCAAAAGTTGATAAATATTTCGAAAAGGCATTCATTATGTAATAGGAATCTTCGCTACCAATGTGAAGAAAGAGAACTAAGTAATTATGATTGAAGTTTTTTAAAAAAAATATCCGGGTTGCCGGATCAAAAATTTTATTTTATATTATGAAACCCCAAAAAATTAACTTTACATGGCCTACTTAAACTAGTATCTACTAAACACTAAATAAAGTAGAAAAATCAATATTAAATTTAGATCAATATAAAATTTCATTCCTACTTAAGTATATTTTAAAATCTATTAAGTAATACACAAATGTAATGATATTTCTAGTAATTTTAATCAGAGCGATACTGTATTTTAACACGATATTAGTAATACGTTATAGCAATATAAGCAAATGGCATTTGATCAACTAATTTTTACAACGTTGACCGAAACATGCTTCTGCACAACCTATCGGCACATTACCATTCTCAAGATAAGCATTTATATAGTAGACGGTTGAATTGTGTAGTTTAAAATTTCGTGGTACTGTAGCTTCGATTGTTGCACCAAAATAAATGCCAGCTTTAGTTGGAGGGACAGAAGTCGTAGGATAAACACCTAGGGGGACACAGTCGTCGGTTCGAAATGCAATAATAATCACACCATTCTCCTTAATATCCTGACCTAAAACTCCAGAAACACTAAAAGTAGCATTTTGTCCAGGAACTGGTGGGTTAGGTGAAACTATTACAGATATAAAAGAAAGAGGATCTAAACTATTACATTTAAGAAATTCAGTGGTTCTTTTCTTGAGAGTGATAGCATTGGTAACAGAAATCGCAAATAATAAAATAAACGCAAAAATGAATTTTTGGTTCATTATTTTTTGTATATATGATGTTTAGCTAGGTCAATTTATTTTTAATTATTGAGAAATTATTTCTTAATTATTGAAGAATTGATTTTATTCATTACCTTTTTATAAGAATTTTCATCTGAAAATTATAAATACACTACGTATATACTCTCTATTCTTGACTTTCCTATATGTGCTTCTATAAGTGTACATAATCAATTAACAGTTAACTTTATTTGTGCAGATTTACTTTAAATTCCTTATAAAATAAAATCTAAAATTACCATAACAATATATACTGTATATATATATAAAGTATAAATTTAGTTTAACATTATTTAGTGTATTAGGAATGGATTGAAGACTAAATTTCATGAAATGTAAAGTTATGCTAAGAATTAGATTATACGTGGCAAAACCTAGAACATTATTAAACTGGATAGAAGTTCGCAAAACCAGGAAGAGAATATCTAGATGGAGATCATAGTGTTCCGACCGTCACACCCGCAGATGGGTCACCCAGGTGGTAAGAGAAATTCCGCAACGGGTCACCCGCGGGTGAATCATCCGGGTGGTAAAAGAAATTCTGCAACGGGATTTAAAAAACTAATCATTAGATAAATCAGAGTTTTATTTATGCGACACTTAAATATAATTTTTGTACTCAATAATGCGAATAAATTGTAAATATTTATGAGGTTGAGTAGCTTATTTATTAACGCGTTAAATTAAATGCGAATGATAAAATTAAATAATGCTTATTCACTAAATTCATGCGTATAAATGGATTATTTTCAATCCAAAGTAATTTATGAAGAGTAAATAAAGCTGGAATAACTTTTAAAATTTATATTTATAAAAGCACTTTATACTTACGCATTAAAATAAACTAATAATAAATGTTCATAGGCATGAATAACTGATTTCGATTTATAAATGCTCATGCACTAAATTAATGAAAACAAAATGAATGAAGCGATATGTTAATACTGTATTCATGAGTATGATAACTTGATTAAATACTAAGATTAATATAAATATACAGTATATTCTTTATATTAGTAAATCTTCATAAATTTGGGTAGCTTAATTAAAGTTGTCATCTGCTTGGATATCCCGGTTTGAACTGTATCATAATGTAGACGTGGATTCAATAAAAATTTATGTGTTAATTATTGAGTCACAGTTTAGCTGTAACTCTAACTATAGCTTTATTGTCTCGATTCTATTTTGTAAAACACTTCCAGGCCTAATACACATTATATTCGTATTCTAAAATAAAATTGTAAATATTTAACTTGGGTTATCCGAGTATAGACTCTACTCTTCTATTGTTGTATGTCGTAATGCCTGTAACTTTAATTGGTCTGTAGGTGTGATTTGAAAAAAAAAAAGCCTATGAATATTGGTCATTTAGACCATAACCAGGTCAATTTGGTAATTCTGCCAGTGGGTGACCCACAGGTGACCCGCGGGTAGGGATACCGCCGATTTGTGATAGCATAATCTGCGCATAAATCAGATTATATCGCAAAAGCATATGCGATAGCATATTGGCATATCAGGGTTAATTTCACATAATTAATAGAGCATAATCTGCGCATAAAATGGTAAAATTAGAGCAGAAGAGCAGAATAAATATAATTGTAATTTTATTGGAAGTTGTATTGGTACCGGGAGAATTCGGAAATGTAGACAAACGAGCACGTGGATTAATTTTTGATAACTATAGGTGTGAATGTAATGCTTGTAACTATAATGAGCTACGGGCATTTTTTGCCATAATACATTATAATTATGGCAAGCATTTACACCTCTGGTCGCAATTATAATTTGGAGCCGGTTATTTTCAATGTTTAATCGAATTTAAGATAATTTGCAGCATAATTCTAGAAAATTTATCGCATAATTCGCATAAACTGATTTGTAAAACAGGCAGAATTTGGGTCTATTGCGGCAGAAAATGAGGATCCCTACCTGCGGGTTGACCACCCGGGTGGTCATAATTCAACCCGGGTCGAAACACTAGGAGATCATAAATAAAATTAAAGATGGGTTGAACTAACATTTTTAATCATGTTATCTAACCCGAATTAGAAAGATTATTCACTGCAATCGTCCATATAATTTCGGCATCGTATGAGCACATCCCCAATTTATTACCGAATTCATACCCACCTGACCGCCTTAGCACAAAACATTACGTTTATTAATTAGGCTCACCACTATTATTTACATGTACTCTAATTAAAATTGTATATTTATTTTAATATTTTTACTTTTTTTTTGGTTTATCATAATTTTTTAAATTGATAATCAGGAAATAATTTTTTAATATTATCAATATGATCTATAGCAAATATTATAAGATTATATGACCAAGGTCATACTAAAAAAAATGGTATGATTTAGGTCATCGACTAACAATGAAATATATGAAATGAACATCTTTATAACAAGCTGTGGAGGATCATTTTATATCAGTATGGTAAGTATTAACTCTTGAAAAATTTTTTTTTCAAAATATCCAATTCGTTATAAAGAAATCTGACGTAAACAATTTAAATCCAGAATACATTTCCTTTATTTAGAAACTATAAATTAAATTGAAGATTTACTTTACCGAAACTAGTTTCGCCATAACATCATTTTTTTTAAAAAAAACTTCGGGAAAATACTCATTTGCGACTGTGGAAGATATGTACACAGTTAGGGTGTGTAACGGGCCGGGTCGGGTCGGGTTTGCTTGAGCCCGACCAGGGCCCGCTTAAACCCGACCCGGGCCCGAGCCCGAAAAAAATTTTTATTACTGGTCGGGGTTTAACCCCGACCCGACCTGATCATTTATAAGCGTATACTCAATTTTATACCGATGATTTTAAATTGACATTATGATCCGCAGAGGTCACACCTTTACAATACGCCATCAACCTGGCACGTTCAAGAATTGCGAAACATATATCACGAAGTTTCCAATCAGTTACGTACATTAAAAGTGCCTATAAACCATACAATTCGTTAAATGCAATGAAACGTGAAATTCTGCACTTAAACTTCACGATATTGCATTATATAGCACTATATTATGGGATTGTTTAACCATAGCGAACTTTCAACTTGTATTTTGTATTGCTTTAATAGGTTTTTGTCCTAATTAAAGTGAATAACGATCAATGCTTTTTTT